TCTTATGTTTTATAATGAATTAATACCTTTTTCTGACACCTCGTGATGATCAGCCATAGGTAGCACCAACAAAGAGACTGCTTCTGCAGCCCTGGCAGACTCCTTCCCAGTAAGAGGCCTCGTGCCTGCCAGCAACTCATCGATGGGCGGCCAGCATTGTACTTCGCAATGCAGACCGCGAGTCACACAAGTCCGTGTTATGCTACCCCAAGCTGAAATCGCTGTTTCTCGAACCGTCCTGGAATTGGCGGAGGGAAAATTTTCAATTTATCATCATAAACTTTGTCCTTCTTATAGGTTATTGAAAACCTTACCGAAATTTTATTTTGCGATTACTTCTTCCATTTCAGTCAAAACTTCAATACAAAAAATATCGTACATTCGTAATAATTACGATTATACATATCGACCGTGAACTGGCAACCGGTACTATCTCAATTAAACTTTACATTGACATTTGGTTTATTAAACAAAAATACGTAGTGTATGTGTAATAAAAATATTTAAAAATTACGTATTTTTATTTAATAAATCAGATGCTATATAAATGACGCAAACAATTTCTTTCTTCACCTGTAAAGTCAATGTAAAGTTGTCAAAATGGAGATAGTACCGGTTGCCAGTTCACAGTCGATATATTATTACCATTACCCCATAATACAAATATTTTCTAGTATAGAAAGTCGGTGATCAATTGAGGCTATCAGGGTAAAAGTGGTATAATCAACATTTATTGTTTTTTCTACAAAATTAGGTACGTAATTTAACTGATATTATAATAGGCACTGAGGCACACTCACACATCATCATCATGCAGTAGCGATACGATAGTCGGCAGTAGCTGGCTCTCAATACAATCTTCGGCCAGGTCGGTCATGTTCACCAGTTCCGTGACCAGATTCGTGATGTAGATACGGATCGCTGTGCCGCTGGAACTCTCGCAACTTGTTGCTGCAACTACGTAATTACCGTATAGTGAGTACAAGCCCCTTTACCGCCTAATTTGAAAGTTGCCGCGATTTTCAGCTTAAAATGCGAAATCATACATTTGAAACCTATTGCGATGCCTTACTTCTCAAACTCGTATCTTAAAGAGTGATTATTTAGGAGATGGCAAAACTTTCTATTTATTTTAAATTTGTTATCAAGGGTTTTAATTTGGATGCGTTACGTTTAAAAGCCAGTGTGTAAATATGAAGGAAATGTGATGAAACTCAGCTTGCAAAATTTGTATACAGGGCGGAAGGGAACGACTGACAAAGCCGAAAATATCACGTTAAGAACCCTACACACATGAGTTTTATTTACTTTAAATGTAAAATCAGAGCAGTTGAAAAATGTTCGTCCAGATTTAAACCTTTCGCGGTGCAACAACCCTAAGCGAATCAATCGCGTTAGTACATCTACTGCCCCACAGGTGGCGTTCGGGTCATTGGCACTCGCAGAAGATATAAGTGTTCTCACTTGAACAAGTAATTAAAAAATATTGAACTGACTTTTTCTTTTTCTTTGAATTAAAAGGATGTTCGATTTGTCGACGTTCCCTTTACTCTTGGAGGCATTCCAGACACATTCCTGGGTGTGCCGGTCATACGCCAATGTGGTTTTCCACACAAATACACTTTACTTGCCTAACACAAACACTACTTAAAAACGTGACTATTCCAATAAGTTGCTGTCACCACCCAAAAATAATAAGTAAACGTTGTTTTGTGTTCTAAACCACGAGTTACCATACAACCAGGTATTTTGAACTAATTTTATGAATGAAAAAATGTTGCCAACTAGACTAAAGCAAATAACACTCAACAGAATGGTCACAGTACAGGCAAAAGACTCCTGGAATACTAAGATAAAAATAATATTCAATTTTAAACGATCAAACCTAATTAAATACGCGCCAAAAATACCAATTTTTTTGTCGCTAGAAATAAAAGACGCTTTTGATGTCAAATCGTCACATAAAGGGACAAAGTCGCTTAATTGGCAACTCTGCATAGAGATGCGCGCGGCGGCGGCGTACACGTCAGATATCATTGATTATTAAATATCTAAATGTTAATTTTAAAAAGACAATTATGATAAACAAATAGGTTTCGCAATAATCGTCTTGTCTGGTATAAGTACCATGAGCAATTTAAAAGTAAAAGTAAGGTAAATGCAGGTCGTTTAATGAATGGTAATAAATAATCAAATTTAATGAAAAATAAGAAAACGAATCGTGGAGATGGTCTGCAGACCTCCAAGAACCGATTTATTTATTTTTACATTACATTTATTAAAATTTCAACTACTCAGCTCAAGTTAACAGAAATTTTAGTTTTAAATGTTGATCTCATTAAAATGAACTCTTCATTTTAAAGTTAGTAAATTCTTGTAGTGTAAATTAAAACTATTTCCAAATGCATTGAAAAATAGACTAGTACAAAAAAAGACGATCTCCCGATTATGCTACCAAAAACAGATAACAAGTATCAAGTGTCCATCCCTAAATCTCTAAGCGGTTATAAGTGACGTGATTGGCTGCCTCAATTTACTATTTTACGTTAGGGCCCGATTACGGGTTACGAGACTATTGTAATTTGAGTCCTTGACGCATGTTGTAGGACGTGTTTACTTAATTTAGTTATGTTTATTTACGTTAGTCTAATCTTATGACGCAGGCACTATGAGTTAAACTCCTGGCAGGGTCATTTAGAAAACTTTACTTTTCTTAAGTTGTTGTAGGTAGTTTATGACAACGCATAGTTTAGAAACAACATGTCTCCCGAAGATTCTATGAGAGGTGCATTATTTCGGTAAATGTAAATATTGGGTCGTCAAACACGGAATTTATGGGTGTTAATTACTCTCAAAGTAATACAATAAAATATCTGCATAATTAATCATCATTCATATGATGACTGATTAAAGAAAGCGACTGATATGGTGCTGATCAACGATGGAGGTTTATTAAATTACAAAGTTTTTGCCCGAGTACCTCCCGGTAGTTGCGTCCAGACGCTGTGTTTTATGATGTAGGGTTGACAATACAGACTTTTCAAGGAAATCTTTATCATCTTTAACATTGAATAACTCGGAAACTATTATACTTAGAGCAAAAAGACTTTCAGTACAATTAAGTACATATTTAAGACTCTTCACAGTTTTTGGCTTTGCCGGTCGTTCTGTTCCACCCTGTACACATAGGGCGCACTATAAGTTTCCGGAACTGGCCACTTACATAAACAATATTTAAAAAGTATTTACAACATTTGAAAATGGAACTCTTTGGCTGTAGAATACAGTTTGTTCCATCTAACTGTCACTTGTTTTTATATTGTGGCGTCATTTTAGAAATCCATCACCATAGATTTAACTCGTTAAATAATATTATGGTAATTTTCGTAGTATGATTTTCTACGACTTTAAGTACAATTTAACTTCTTCAAACTGCTTTTAACTATGAAGCACCATGCAAGACGACTATTTGTAGCTGGTTTGCAGAATTCAAACGCGGTCGTGTGAATCTCAGTGACGAATTTCGTGATGGTCGCCCGTCCACTGCTGTGAACAACAAAATCTCGATGCTGTGCGCCGTATGATCAAAACAGACAAGCATGTGACATACCATGAGATTCGGGCATCTTTAGGCATAGGCATGAGTCAAATACAATCAATACTACACAAACATTTGGGTGTGAAAAAGCTGTGCTCCCACAAATTTGACTGAGGCTCAAAAAACGGATCGCGTCACTTGGTGCAATGCCATGCTTATCAGATTCAACGAAGAGGCGTCAAATTTGGTGTGGAACATAGTAACAGGTGACGAAACATGGATTTATAGTTACGATCCCAAAACAAAGCAGCAATCGAGCGTATGGGTCTTTCACGATAAGCCGAAACCAACCAAAGATGCGCGCGAGAAAAGTGCCTCTAAGGGGATGATTGCTTCTTTTTTTAATAAAACTGGACACATTTTTGAAGGTGAATAACGTTGACCTTATGAGCCATCCCGCGTACAGCCCCGACCTGGCACCTTGTGACTTTTATTTATTTCCAAAAATTAAGAACCAGTTACGAGGTCAATGATTTTCATCACCTGAAGAGGCTGTCGAAGAGTATGAAAAATATGTTTCAGAGATTGTCACGGAGGAGTGGCATAAATATGTTCAAAATTGATTCATTCGTCTGAAAAAGTGCATTAACGCTAACGGAGAGTATTTTGAGAAACAATAAATTCATTTATACCATTTATATATACCATTTATATTTATAGTATTTTTTTCTTGTTCATTCCAGAAACTTATAGTGCACCCCACGTACAATCCATGTTTTTGCATTTCAGTAACTTTTGTTTTAAGATACGAGTTTGAGAAAGTAAGGCGATGAATTGGTATTTATTGGTATTAACTGCCTCCGTGGCCGAACGGTTACCATGCCGGACTGCCACGCAGAGGTCCCGATGGCTTACATTTATTTCTCTGGGTTTGGGTGTAATTTGTGGTTGTCTATGTGTGTGTCCATGGCACCCGCGACACAGGGTTTCCCTAGTGCGGGGCTATGTTGAGTGTGTGCGTTATTTAAATTTACGAAGTTCAGAAACGGTTATATTCGACCTTCAAATAATACCATTACACCCCAGATATATCTTGTTTAATCTATGTATGATGCCAGCACATATTCTTACTGCAAAGTGAAGCGCTTGCAAACCTGTGAATGGTCACGATAATGAGAATTGCCCTCACTACATGCATACAAACTTAGACAATTATTTCCTAAGTTGAACACGGTGTCTAAAAATACAAACACTTCGTTTTCTGAATAGATGCCTAGATTATAATATGCCAATGTTACTTACACTCTCTAAGATGCTGTAAATAGAATTTGAGCGATTCGCTTTTGTGATTTGCTACCCACTTTAACGGTATTGAGAAAATCTTTACTGGAAGCGCTCTTATGCTGCTGTATATCATCCATCTGAAAAAATTGGTACTAGTGTAATAACTACTTTTTTATACATTCTAAATCAATCACAAGTTACACGGTCGCAATAGCAGCAGCAATCCCTGAAAATGGCGATTCTACATTTCTCATGTACTCGTACTCGGTAACAGGTTAAAATATAAAAACTAAATGAAACAGTGTTCAGTATTTAATAAAGAACTTTTGTGTCACATTTTGTATCATTGGGTTTAGGCACCAATGGAATAAACAAACTGCAAGTGAAATGGGCGGGCGAAGGATTTTCTTCTATGGAATAGTCACGTTCCACGGAACAAAATCGTTCACTAAAGCTCTCATTGATGTTTATAGGGCTTCTTATGTGAATTCCCATTTGATTTATTGCCATCTAGTGTTTAGAAATACAACTCCAAAAGTAAACAGTTCGTTATAGCTGCATAATAGTACGGTGATCCGTTTGACGTCGTAATAGAAACCTTAATGGATTCAAATAAGATAATTTTTTTTACGAAAAGGTATACTTTATTTGACTACTGTTGTTTGGTAATTGTATCCATTCCAAACTATGGTTTTTTATGATATAAAGTGACGAGATGAACAAGTCGTGCACCTTGTGGTAAGCGACACAGCTATCCATAACAGTTGCAGTGCTACTCAGAGCTTTAAATCGCAACGACCTCAGGGGCACTGCCACTGCGCCCGTCACCCTGAGACATATAGACCATAAAGTTGACATATGCCTGTAGTTCACTAGCATCCATAATACCCTTCAAAACCGGAACGCAGTAATGCTCACCTAACTGCTTGGCGGCAAAAATAGGTAAGGCAACAGACTTCCCTGGACGAACTCTTTTACAAGGAGCTGCTGCTACTAAAATGTAATGTTAAATTACGTTTACATGTGTGAGCGTTTGACAACAAAGGCTTCGGTACCAAAGCCGCTTGATACCATTTCCACTAGTTTGTTTACTCCATGAACGCATAACATTATGGTCTCAGTTTAAACTTCCTGACACTTTTTAGCAGGCGTTCGGCAAATAAAATTTTTGGTCTAACATTTTTAAGTATTTGACAGGCAAATAATGACTAATTCGATAGTGTACGATGATCACAACATTACATTAAAATCATTATAAAGTATTGTTAAATCGTATACTCACCTCTGCAAAAACTCTCCGTGTTGCGCGCTGTCTTCAAGAGCGGGCAACACAGTTACTAGATATATTCCAACTACCACCATGCTATCCACATTGACTGAATGCAACTTTTCCATCTTTTGTTCTAAATCCGCAACAATATCCATAAATATTGGCTTCAAAACATACGTAGCGAAATTTCCGCGGAAATTTTCCACGTAACTGCTGAACAGTGACAGTAATATCTCATATATTGAAAAGTGATTCAATACTTTAATGTTCATTGCCACTTCTAGTATTTGTTTTATTCTGTAATTATAAAAAATATATACAATTATATGTTTTGTATAAATCGATATCAATAGGACAGTTTAACTGTAGTTGTCAACCCACATGTCTCACTGCTGTGCACGGGTTTAAGAGGGTTCAGCCCATAGTCCGCCACACTGGCCCAAAACGGGTTCGAGACTACACATCACCAAGATATTTTATGTCGACGACCTCGGCGGCTCAACGGTTTGCTCTAGGGGTGGTGGATGAGAAGGTCTCGGATTCGATTCCGGTAGAATCAATTTGGCAAAATATTTTTTCTGATCTAACTGCCTCTGTGGCCGCACGGTTACCATGCCGAATTGCCATGCAGAGGTCCCAGTCTCGATGCCCGGGCCCGGAGAAATATTTGTATGGCCTACATTTATTTCTCTCGTGAGTTTGGGTGTAATTTTTATAATTTATATAATTTTTGTAATTGTGGTTGTCTATGTGTGTGTCCATGGCACCCGCGACACAAGGTTTCCCTAGTACGGGGCTATGTTGAGTGTGTGCGTTATTATTATTATTATCCGAGTGTTCTAGATAGTGCCTTGGAGTGACTTATATAGCTCTGGTATTTATTGAGAAACTCTTTAGTGCTCCTTAATGAGTGGTAATATGAGTAGGGTGTTTGGTTATTTGTTAAACACCAACAAACTCGCAGGACTATATCTGCCGTCCACTAACTAAACCGCGGCTATGTAACAAATGATCAAATAATCGTTTTAAATAGCAAAAAATAGAGCACAAAATAAAAACAGGTAAAATTAGCTAACGTGTTCGACGAACTCACCCTAACGATGCATAGCTGAAATATCATTAAACAATTTCAATATTCTGAAAACGGGTTATGATTTTTATATGTCAAAAAAATATTTTGTCACTTAGCCGCGTTTTAGTTAGCGGACGGCAGATATTACTAACGTCATTTAACAACAACTTTTGTGCCTTGTTTTAAAATTGTATTTAGAAGTGTATTTGGTAGCAAGTTCAAATGTGTAAGCGCCCTCCCCGCCCGCTCCACGTTTGGCATGGGACTGGTATTTTCGCTAGCGCTTTCTTTTGTTACCGCACAGAGTTATCATCGTTTAGAACGATCTATTTAGATATTTGTATTTAAGTACGAAAGTAAAATCTGATGAATTATTAAGTCATGGCAATTATTATGTTGTTTATGATGTAAGTAATATGGTCCTGTATCCATAACAGTAGCAGTGCCTCGCAGACCTTTAATTCATAAAGATCTGAGGGGCACTGCCCCTGCCACCTTGACACATAAGTTGACAAGTCCCATGTGCCTGTAATTTCACCAGCACACTTACCCTCCAAAACCGGAACGCAGTAATGCTCACATTACAACTTGGCGGCAGAAATAGGCATTTTACAAATAACCCTATATATACAAATTAGACAAAAAAAACGATGTAGCAAAATCGAGGGCCTTATTGGTAAGTAGCTTCCGGATCTTCCGTAAACCTAATATTAAATCTAATGCCAACAATCTCGAATCTGGAAATTCCGTTTCAAGTTTTATAAAGGTTCCCATAACAATACTTACAAATTAATAAACCAATTCAGCTCGGTCCATCTGACTTCTGGTTTCTCTTTGATTAGACTATTCATTGCCACTAGTAGAGTCTTTGCATCCACATTATCAGTCATATAACACTGTAGGTCCACAAAGAACTCCTGTCCCCCTTCCAGAGGAACATCTTGTAAATTTATTTGCATATCACAGCTCAGGGTAACGTCTCTAACTATTTGTACATTGATCACATACGCCAATTGCGCTAAAACTAATTGTTCAATAATCTCTAAATACAATATAACAGACTTCCATTCGTTTTCCGTACTTGATTTCACTAGATTTGACATAACACGACTACAAAGCTCCGAGGAGAATTTTCCTGAAAACGACAAAAGAAAAAAGTATTAGAAAATTACCGAGTATTATGTTCTTTAAGTTACTTTCGTAAACAGTTTTATTGTGTCGATATCATGCGCCATTTATGCCGAGCAGCAATAAGTAAACACTAACGTTAAGGTTTCTTTTTTATTTATTTTACCTACCTAGCACAATCTTTAAAGAAAGAGAGGGCGGCAGACATTTAGGCACCATCACACAACCACACATACACAGTCTTATAGTTATTCTGTTTTCATAGTACTAGTTTTAATTTATTTTTCTGCACAATGTTGTAATCATCATACATTTTGTATAAAAATGAGTTTCTGTAATTGGTTTTTATGCTGCCTATAGGACATTTCGCACATGACAACTAACATAGTTCTTAGGTTTTCGCGATTGTTACACATAGGAAATGAAACTATTTTTCCGGATTTAAATCAACCGTGACCATGGGACCTGTAAAGGGCCCGAAACGTCGGTTTGTTTGAAAAAACAAATATACGCGATTTAAATCCGGAAAAATAGTTTCATTTCCTAAACTAACATAGTATTATCTCAAAATAGCTTTAATTTATATTAATATTACATATTTAGTTTCAAAGCGACAGTATTGTCCTGTCACTTTGAAATTAAATCGTATATGAATGACACATCAATATAGTAAAATTTTGGAGATACATTATTAATATAACGCCATTTTTGAGATAATGCTATGTTAGTTGTCAAGTGCGATTTGTAAAAGGTGTATACGAATGCTGGAGATATATTTTTTTATTAAATCAAATAAAGTATTAAATATCGTAAAACAGTTATGTAATAACAAACCTGCGATTGAAGCACTTCGAGCCAACACAGGAACGAAAATATTAACAGTGTCCTTAACATTTTTATCAAAAGGATCTTTCAAAAAGCTAAACAAGAGATTTTCCAATTGTCCATACTTCGTATGGTCCGCAACAGGACAAATTAGGCACGCAGATTTGAGCCCTAGGCCCCTTATTTCTGCTTCGCTAGATTCGCACATGAGTAATACGAGGCTAAGTAGTAACGAGGTGCAGAGTTCTATAGGCACGTATGGTGCAATTGCTATGCAAATTTGGCTGGCTAATATCCTTCGTTCAGCAGACTTTGAAGTTAGTAGCTCTGCAATAGATGATAGAACTTCGCCGCTCCCGCCCCATTTCACCACGAGACATGTTGCTGAAAGAATAAATAAGAAACTATTTTAAAACGAGCTAAAGTGTAATTACAAATAAATTGACGAATTAATAATAATAATAACACACGAATTTCAAAATTTCCAACAAACATTCCACCTTAAATAGTTTGTATTTGTGGTTCTAAAAAGTTAGCTACACAAAAATTTTAAAAAATGTAGCAGAATTCCATTGTTATTAATTTGAAGAGTGGAATATTTGGCGGGTCCAGTATTTCCTGAAAAATGTGATCAGGATACTTTAAGGGCCGTATTCTAGAACTCTACTAAATGCTCAAGTCAGGATTTGAGTATGGTTTAAAGCACTCGAAATCATACTCAAGTCCCTGCCATTAGGGTCGTATTTCCAGTACTTGTGTTTCCAGTGCAATCCTGACTTGAGCATTGAGTAGAGTTCTAGAATACGACCCTAAGATCTGAGTAATAGAGACCTTCTAGACCCTTGGTTCCCAAAGTGGTCCAGGTGGACCCCCAGGGGTCTCGACGGGGGTCTACGTTGGCGTGACAAAAAATAATTTGGATATGGAATATGGTAGAAATGTAGCTGCAGGGGGTCCACCGGAACTAAATTTTGAAAGTGGTCTATGATAAAAAAAATCTGGGAACCTCTGTTCTAGACAAACCTACCAATGTACGTTTCTAGCCCATTCTAAAGTTATATTAAAAAAGTACCTTCGCAAATAGCCCTTGTGTCCTGTTTGGTAGGCCGTTTGACGAGCGTGAGAAGGGCGTGCAACGTGCGTGCGCGCCGCGCGTCACCCGGCGATAGCAGCGCTGCGCTGGCGGCTAACAGAGCTGCCGCTTCGCAACGCCGCGCTACCAATGTATGTGGGATTATCTGCCAAAGGCGATCCAATATATATATGCAATTTTACGTATAACGTTTTTTTGGTAAGGAAGCCATACCAAAACGAAAGGCTCACAGGTAGTCTTATGGCACTTATGAACACCTTTCTTCATACTGATCTACTCAGAACCAAACGGACGGTTAAGGGGTCAGGTATCTTAGGGCATCGACCCTGTGACTGTTATGACCAACAAACGGTATACCTTTTTATTGGAGGGTTTTGTCTGGACAGATCCCCCTGGGTGTACCATCCCCTACCTGTTTGTACCGCAAAGCAGCACAGCTATGTTCCGGATCGAATGTTAAAATCAGCGCAATCACATGTGGACTTTAAAGACAATAAATAATACGTCTAAGTTAACGCAAAATTACTATGTCGGATTTTTCATTACAAATTACAAGCTGACGTTAAGTGGGTAATTTCACTGACTTTAACTAAGTAGATTATCAAGTATCTTTTTAATGATAGCTATAGGTATTAATTTTTAAAAAACATGCATTTTATAACAGAAAAATGGTAGAAGATTGTTGAGCCTAAATGTAAATAAAATGTTAATATTGTTAGTTCATTCAAAACTGAACCATACACATTAACTATAAATTAAATATAGCAACATTATTTTTTAAGGTGAGATTAGTATCTGTCAGTTTGTGATCTCTAATAAGAAATTCGACTATACTCGACTCTATTAATACTATGAGTCGCGCTAGAGTTCGAGTCTGTTTTTGTAACGAGAGAAGCTCGAGTCTTGTATGTACCTACCATCCAGTATAGAACCAGAAATAGAGACGAAATTTCATTTAATTTGTTTGAAAACTATTCTGCCGTATCATTACTGTGACAACTACGCTCCGATTGACCAGCCCGAGTTCGAAACAATTGACGGGTGTCGTCAACTGTTTCACTTCAAATCGACCAGGTAACTTGAGCTTTGCTATAATGGACGAAAATTTCAAAATTACATATTTAATATTTAATTACCGATGAAACGTGATTCCGTTTGTTATTAGATGTTTGTAATTAGATGTTTTGCTGTTTTTCCCACACCACCGAATAGAACAGCACGGCATTGTTAGAGATATTATCTTTATTACAATAAATACAGAATATTTTTTGAATATACGGAGACGTACACACAGGTCAGTAGTTGGCCTGTCTATATTTTAGTGCAAACGAGAGTTGATATTTATAAGAGCTGTATCGCTAATGTGTTACCAGGAATATATGGCCCTTATTTCGTCTCTATTTCTGGTTATATACTCGATGGTACCTACTTAGCGGTATTGCGGTGTGGTGTGTTAAATTGCAGTACAATTACTGCATAATTAAGTATACAGTATATCGTCTATTTTTTAAATCACCATTTTGGGATTTTGTTTTTTATTTAAATCGTGGCTCGTGAGTGCTTGAGGCCACCGAGCCGTGCAAAACTGAGTCGAGTTTATAAATGTAGACTCCCGGACTCGAGTTTTTTAAAGCACTAGAACTGTTAGAATCATTGACTTACAAATAAATGGACAAAAACCACGAAAAAATGTCCCAAGTCAACCTATTTAAACGTAGTGACTTGTAAAGGAATATGAAAAAGCTAAAACGTTGAATTTAAATTGTAATGTCATCGCAGTACTGTCTAATTTTGCTTGCTTCGCTGTCAGCCGAACAAACGAAGACTAAAGCGTGAATGACGCTCTGTATACGATTTTAACGCCCTATAAGTTCGGACACTTTTTAGCGCGGACCCGACGTCCATATAATTGTAAGTCAATGGTTAGAATTGACGATGGTTCTGATATTTCCGATTACAGTACATATTACGTAAGGGTACGCTATTGAGCAACAATGGCAATCTCTGCAAAATACAACTCGCACTGTATGGTCTATATGTGCGTGTAACACCTAAGAAGATATGACTAATGTTAGTTATATTGAAATAAAACCTCCATACCCTAAGTAAAGTGTCGACTACCAAAGTGAGTAGACCAGACAATGTAATAGGTTTATCACTGGTAACCAACTCTGCCAAAAGATCATTAGCTAAAGGCTCGTTCAAGTTCAATGTCTCACAGCACCAGTTTAAAATTGCCACTTTCATACTGTTTGGTAGACCGCTGAAATATAAACAAATTGATATTAATTAGTTATTCAGAATAATTATTGTAGTAGTTGTGTTCAAGAATGTAATTAAAGTAAACCTTAAACATATAAATTAATAACAGGTAAAGTTTTAGTGACTGGCTTACTAAAACCATGCACGGCATTGCACGGCCATGTGATGTTATTATAAAACATGTTTCAACTAGTTTAGTCTGTTAAAGTACATGTACTCGTAAGTTAATGTATGTCTTCAATATGTTTGTATGACTAATGTTTGGCCGGACACAGTGAAACTACACTTATTTTGTTACAAGTCAACTTCTATACAACCTGTGTTTTCAGATAAATTAATTATGAATATTTCAAAGGTGCGGTTGCTGCTTATATCGGACAACGGAATTGACAGAAGTGATAAATATAGTGAACTCTGTAGGCAAAGATAGGAAGAGCTGACAGGGTCAACTTCCGAAAATGTTATTCTTGATTGCAATACTTATTTTATTGAATATCGTGATGTTTTTACTGGCCGATATAAATATATGTATATATATTATTAAATTTTTTGAAAAAAAAAATGAAAATTCTCCATATATTTATTGTAATTATTGATACAAAGATCAAACAAATGCAAATAAAAATTACTTCGATCTGGCTGGCGACGAAAAAGTCGCGGCGATCCAAACTCACGAGTAAAATAAATGCAGGCCATACAAATATTTCACTCGGCCCGGGGATGGAACCCGGGACCTCTGCGTGGCAGACCAGTGTGGTAACTGTTCGTCCACCGAGGCAGAGGCTTTGTATCAATGATATTCTTGATGTTCTGACATTCAGAAATATTTTACATAACTCTAAATTTACCAATAAAAATTACAAAAAATATGCCACAAATGTTAGTTTTTTTATAGATGGTTTGTTACCTGTCTATCCACATTTCTTTGCTGCAAGTCTCAATGCTGTTGTATTCATATGGCACGCGTGTCCACTCGCCGGCGTCATTTATACTGAGCGTTTCATCCAACGTGGTTACACTACCGCGTCGTAAAGGCGAGTCGCGAGCACTCGTGTCTCCAATCACACCGGGATCAAATGAGCTGGCGTTTGAGCCTTCTTTTCTGGTTCTGTAATAGATGATTCAGTGTACTTTTATTTTTGGGTACCTACTTTTAGTTTACCATTGACCAAGAATAGGTACCGTTGTACACTAGGTGTCGATCGTGTAATAGTATATGTTCTCACCATGACATTTTATATTATTCTTAGAAACATTAATTAAATACTTTATAACATTCAGTAACTAACACTAAATAAACATTTTATAACATTCTTCAGAAATTTAAAATAAATACAATTTTTTTCCATGTCCTGAATAATCGCTCTTTATAAGGTACGTGGTTGAAAAAATAAGGCATCGATTTGTAATCTATAACCTGTATTGTGCCATATTAAATAAAATATTCACAGATACTCTTAACAAATCCGTAGACATGGGTAGCTGAAAGCTCGAGGGCAGAAATTAAGTGAACTACAACTTACAGGTTGACCAAAGACCTCTTGCGACATATAAAGGTTAGCATATGCCTACCTGCATTACACCAATGTATCATTTATCATATAGCCATACATCACTGGATAAGATAGTCTATGACATGGAGTAATAAAATATAGCGACAGTGTTGGCAGCAGATCCCTATCAATACGTAAAGTTTATCTTCTATAATTAATGATAATAACATTTTAAAATACATGATTACTTACGTTCCACTGTTTTTTTCATTATCAATCATTTCAAACTGTTCTGGCGTTGCACTGTTAGTCGAGTTACTGCTTCCGTAGTGATTTTCGGCAGCAGTACTAGTGATGGGCGTACATTCAGTTTGATCCACTCGATTGACACTTGCCTGATTCACCATACACATTGTCTTATCTATCGCAATCTGATCTTGAGTTGATATTTGTTTCTCTTCAGGTATTTGAAGTTCTAAACATTTATTGTCCGATGTGGGACTTGTAAGGGAGTTTAAACTGACTATAGCGGCATCATAGAGTTTCTGGAAGTTCAGTTTCTCAGTCTCTAAAGCTATTACTTTTTGTTTCAAAAGTTCTATTTCTTCTGCTTGGATTAGAAGCTGTAAAAATGGTTGAGTATTTTATTACAACTGGTTGGACCTCAACTGTCAACAAGCATTCGCGTTTTGGCTGACAATATTACCCACACTTATAGGCATTCCCACCATATCGAATTCGTCAGCACAAAGAATGTTACTAAATTATATTTCCAATAAAACTATTATCCAGCAATTATTTTCTACATTTACATGATGCAAATCCCCAAAAAAAAAAAAAAAAAAAACAATTTACTTGAAAACCTCGGTAGCCCAATGGTTAACACTGTGGGCGCTAGATATTTCAATATGGATGTTCTGGGTAGTGGCCCAGTGTTAATTTCGTCACTTTGATACTCATAGTATAAGGAATTATAGTAGCCGTAGAGCTCCTTGTGAAAGAGTTTGTCCAGAGAAGTAATGCCACCTTACTTATTTCTCCCGCCTAACAGTAATGCTCACATTACTGCAGTCCGGTTTTAAAATGTCCTTACCTTCTGCTGGTGAAATTACAGGTACATGGGACTTGTCAACTTATATCACAGGGTAATAGGCGCAGTGGCAGTGCCCCTTAGATCTTAGTGATTTAACTTTTTCTTTTTATTATAATACTAAGTGACGGGACGAACAAGTCGTGTGGTTGGTGGTAAGCGACACGCCTACCTATAACAGATGCAGTGCCACTCAGAACTTAAAATTCTTCTGTAGAGTTCTGAGTGGCACTGCAACTGCTATGGTCAGGCATGTCAGCAGTAAGTGACAGGTGCACGACTTGTTCGTCTCGTCACTAGGTATCATGAACAAAAATTTCCTTACTTTGGGATCAGGTATTTGTTGCAAGTCGGGACCGTCGCCAACATAAGCGAAGTATAGGGCTTGTATGATGGTATACTTATACTGAAATTACCTCATGGTTCCAATCAGTCTCATTATCAACAGAAGTTTGGCAGCTGACACACACATTCTCGTCAACATCTGTCTGACAAGCTACTTCACAGGTCTTAATATCCATTTCAGTAGCAGCATCAGCTTTTGGAATATTCAGACCACCTGCATTACCCCAGAATAGAGATGCCAGACTGGCTGGCCTAGGCATGTTTAGACCAACATCATCCCAATCTTCAAATTCCTGAAATAATTTTCTTATTTGCACCTATATCTACAATAACTTTATATAAATCAATAATGATATGTCAATCTACTTCACTTTACCCTTGATATATTTATTTATACATTGTGACAAATAAGGATAAAGATTACTCTTTAACCCTATTAGTCACATTTGTTTTTTAAAATGATTGTTTTTATATGATTTTGGTATAAAATAAATCAACTGCAAGTTTAAATAGATTACCTGATCTGGGTTTTCATCAGAGAAAGTGATTGATGTAAGTTTATAATCATAGAGTAGGAGATATTCATTTATGAGGAAATTGAGGGCCTTCTTCTCATGAGGCTTTAAATAGCGCTGGTTAAATTTATCTCTTGAGGTCTTGTCTAGGGCAGAATCTCCATCTGAAATACAAAAAAGAAAATCAGTTTGGTGAATGTGGCGTAACACGGGACTGAAGGACAGAGTTCAATCTGAGCTCACTAACTAAGGAGAAATAGGTATGCTACATTAATGACTTATTAAAAATCGTACATCTCTACAAGAAGTTACTACTTTCAATAAAATATTACTAGTAAACTGTGCTAGTAGTAGTAGCATTTTTTCATGGTGTATAATATATACAATATATAATATATATAAATATATATATATTTATATATATAATATTATATATATATATATATATATATATATAATTTTGATGCAATATTTGTGTCCTACAAATACATATCGTCTCTGGAAAGGCTAACTTAAGACTAACCTCCAAAAGGCCAAAATGGCAATTTAGTACTTTGGTATGTGCGATCCTGGATACTAAAATAAATAAAAATTGAGCTCAAACGTTATATGCCACTGGGATATATAAACAACATTTCTTTCAATTGTCAATGCTTTAGTATTTTAGATATATGTACCAATACTACTTTAAATATAAGGGTCTACACAAATAGGCATCAATACTGTCAATTGCCTTCTTTAGTCATATTAAAGATGAAACAGATAGTGATTTGGCCGGATACCGGATATCCGGCGAACAACTAGACCGGATAGCCGAATATCCGGCTGCCGGATATCGAACCCACAGTCGCGAACATGTAGCGACCGTTTTACAGTGCGCATCGCCGTGATTGATTGATTAGTGAATGATTGCACTTTCACATTGACGATTTGGATTGTTGTGGTCACTTGCCTTTTGTTAAAACGAAAAGTTTATTCAATAATACAAACAAATACACAACAGGAAAATGTCAACAGAGACAAAAAATGGGCAATTTAACAATATTTTAATATCAGTGCTGTTTGTTTGTTGTATTGTTTGAATGCAAATTTCACAAAAGTGGTGGAGAAGGAAAAGAACCAGTTACATTATTCTTTGTTTATATTAAAATTTCTAGTTATTATTTTATAAGTACAAGCCTAGCACTTAATACGCCCGTTATGCTTTTGTTTCGCTTTGATTTCATCAATTTGTTTGTGAACTATTCTAAAACTTGATATCAGTTTTCGCCGAAAAAATATTTTTAAATCTACTTACTACTACTACTTAATAGTTTTATTATTATTGTTACACATTTTTTCATACAAAAACAAGATTAATTTAAAGCGATTATTATCTGAAATCAATTCGAATCGATCGTGATTGCGATCCTTTCATTTGATGATCTGGTAATATCAAACAGTACCTAAATTTAATAAAGTTTACTAGAGTTTATAGCGAAAAGCTGTCCTCTGAATCTGGTCTTGTAAAATGAAAATAAACGGAACCGAGTCTTACCACTTATTGCAGAAATACTGGTCCTCATCCACCATAATTTTATTAAAATTTAAGTACTAAAGGAAAATTAACCCAGTCCCCGGGCAAAAGAAACCTATCTCAGAATTATGCTTAAGATAGGTAAGTAAATTCTGTATAGTTTTTGTGTTCGATATCCGTGGCTAACACGTCAATATTGCCTTTTGTTTTTGCTCTGGCGCATAGAGTTAGGTAATGTACGTTCATGTATAAACAAAAGTCTTCATCAGTTTTGGTTGTCTATTCTTCAAAAACTATTATAAGGAAGTATAATATGACTAATAAAGCTAGGAATAACATAGTAAAATGAAGAAAACAAAAATAAAAAACAATAGTAAGATGTGATTTTTTTTACATTGTAATCTTATAATTAATTATTTACGTCTAATAACAAATCTTGTGCGGTGTGGTCGAATACATTATATGGTACTAGCTCACCCAAGATTATCAGGCATGACAAATTACCCCCGTGCCATCAAAGGGAACCTGTAACTCAAAATAAAAACAGAAACGAAACGAGTGACAAAAAAAGGTACGTTTATCGTCACGCTATTTATTTATATGTAACAGGGGCAACACATGAGGTAGATCATCATTACACTGAATTTATAATACCTAATAATTTTAAGCTAGAAACCACTCCAATTACGTGAGGCGCAAGTTTCCGGACTCGTAAGTTTCCGGAATGAATAAGAAAAAAATACTATACGGTCAGAAATGATTTATTGTTTCTCAAAATATTCTCCGTAAGCGTTAATGCACTTTTTCAAACGAATGAACCAATTTTGAAAACATTTATGCCACTCCTCCGTGACAATCTCTCAAACACATTTTTCATACTCTTCGATAGCCTCTTCGGGAGATGAAAATCGTTGAACGCGTAACTAATTCTTAATTTTTGGAAATAAATAACAGTCACAAGGTGCCAGGTCGGACTTGAAGGGGGGATGGCTCAGAAGGTCAACGTTGTTCACCTTCAAAAATTCATTTGTCTGCCTGGCCTTGTGAGAACTGGCATTATCGTAGTGCAAGATGATACGGCGTTTACGGTTATTTTTACGGAGTGTGTCAGTAACTTCCAGCAAACAAATGGTCGTGTACCAATCACTATTCACGGTACAACGATTCTCTAAAGCAACGACAATTTGACGCCCGGATTGAATCTGGTAAGCATGGCATTGCACCATGTGGCGCGATCCGTTTTTTGAGCCTCAGTCAAATTGTGTGGGATCCATCGAGAGCACAGCTTTTTCACACACAAATGTTTGAGTAGTATTGATTGTATTTGACTCATGCCTATGCCTAAAGATGCCCGAATCTCATGGTATGTCACATGCCTGTCTGTTTTGATCATACGACAGAATCGATATTTTTGTTGTTCACAACAGTGGACGGGCGACCATCACGAAATTCGTCACTGAGATTCACACGACCGCGTTTGAATTCTACAAACCAGCTATAAATAGTCGTCTTGCATAGTGCTTCATCGCCAAAGGCAGTTTAAAGCCGAGCAAAGCTCCGCTGAGCTGTTAAATTACACTTAAAGTCGTAGAAAATCATACTACAAACATTTTCACGAGTTAAATCCATGGTGATGTAGACAACCAATTTCTAAAATGACGCCACAATGTAAAAACAAGTGACAGTCAGATGAAACAATTCCATTTTCAAATGTTATAATTACTTTTGAAATATTGTTTATATAAGTAGCCAGTTCCGGAAACTTATAGTGCGCCCTATATAACCTTGTCTCAAACTAGGAAATTCCCTGTACTGTGAGTACCTACCAGAGCAACGGAATTAACTCTAGGGAATTACCCAGAACAACCAAACTAGAACCGGTTTAGAAAAGGTTTTTTCTAAATTGGCCCTGCCGGGAATAGAACTTGGGACCTCAACATCTTGTGCCCATAATGATAATCTGTAGGCCAGCGTGGTCGTCACTTTATTTATAAATTATTGTCTCATATATACCTACATAGCCTGACGATAAACATAGCTATTTTTTGTGTAAAAGAATGTATTAGGTACTGACACCCGCAATGTTCCTTATTATGTTTTTATTTTGAATTACATGTTCCGTTTGATAACACGAGGGCAATAAATATGTCACGCCTGATAGTCCTGGTGGGCTAGATATTATTATGTATTCGACCACCCCACACAGGGTGAGTTATTAGAGGCAGATAATTAATTATACGAATATAATGTGAAGCAAAAAAATCATACGGGTGGAACGGAACGACCGACAAAATCACGAAAGTATCACATTAAGAACCCTACATACATGTAAAATCAGAGCAGTTGAAAAATGTTCGTCCAGATTTAAAGCTTTCGCGGTGCAACAACCCTAAGCGAATTAAACGTGTTAGTACATTTACTGCCCTACGGGCGGCGTTCGTGTCATTCATTGGCACTCGCAGAAGAAACAAAAGTGTTCTCACTTTAATAGGTAATAACATTCAACTTACTTTAAGTTAAAAGGATCGATTTGTCCACGTCCCCTTTACTCTTGCAGACATTCCAGACAAACACACTAATACACTTTACTTGCTTAACACAAACACTACTTAATAACGTGGCTATGCCAATAAATTGCTGTCACCGCCCAAAAATTAATACCTAAACGTTGTTTTGTGTTGTAAACACGAGAAAAACATGAGACCACGAGTTACCATACAACCAGGCATTTTGAACTAATTTATAAATGAAAAAGTGTTGCCAACTAGATTAAAGCAAATATCACTAAACAGACGGTCCATTTAAGGCTTGAACAGTCGCGAATGACTTTGACGATTTGACGTCTAAGCAGTAGTAACAATTTCATCGACCACTCGCTGGTACTTACACGAAGTCAAAAAAAGATAAGTTGTAAATTAGAATACAAAAGAGTCATAAGTGTTTTTTCGCAATCTATAACTACGTCGTTGTTCCCTCAGACATTCGAGAATAAACCATCGTAAAAATAAACATAGCATAATATTTTAGGGTCAAAATCGTAATAGCATAAATACTGAAAGTATTAGGTAAATCGTGCAATGATTCGATCGTTAAATCCTATCAATTAACAACTAATACTACTATTTTCAACTATAAAGAAGAAGCAGAAAAGAGTAATAAAATTAAAACAAATACTTTCATTCGCTATATTTTAAATGCATTTAACAAACGTCAATATTTACTAATTAATTATGCGTCATTGAAAGTTTAACTTTTATGTATTATTTATTCAATTTGTTTTATACAATACGTAAATAAACACTTAGATTAATAATTAAAAAAAAGTGATTACGACCAATACGACTAATTTGTTTTTAACTGATGGATTGCGCGAGGTTAAATAAATATACATTAAAATAGGTACATTATTAACCAAATTGTTAACATTAAAAAGCGTCAAAATCTAAATAGCGAGAACAAGTAGTTTAATTGAAATTGGAGTACTATTTTCTGATTGAAGCATGGCTTCGTCGTCACGAGAGCAAATATTTGCGATATTTTCTGGATCAGAGGCGGGTTTATTTTCTTTGTTTTCTATTTTCTTTAAAACAAAACTGCAGCTAGTGGCGGTGGGCGGAAAATGCAATGCAATATAGTTCCATTTCTACT